AATACAATAAAAATATCATAATAAAATATTTAAAAATCCAAGGCCAGTCATGGTGATTCATGCCTGTCATGCTGGCACTTTGGAAGGTCAAGGCAGGAGGACTGCTTGAGTCCAGGAGTTTGAGCCCAGCCTGAGCAACATAGCAAGACCTCATCTCTACAAAAAAAAAAGCAAAAAATTAGCTGGCGTCATGGCATGCACAGCTACTCAGGAGGCTGATGGCAGAGGATTACCTGAGTCTAAGGAGGTCAGGGCTTCAGTGAGTAGTGATGGTATCGCTGCACTCCAGCCTGGGTGACAGAGTGAGACCCCAACCAACTAAAAAAAATCCAACCCAATGTATAGTATATGATATGAGGCACAATTTGCTCATTAAAAAAAAAAGTGAAGGCTAAATTGCAGTGTGGTAACTTTGCATCCTGAAACAGAAAGAGAAATTAGTGGAATATTGGTGAAATCTGAATCGAGTCCTAAATTAGTTCAAGTATTGCTCCACTGTTAATTTCTCTGTTTTGACAAATGTACATGATTATGTCAAATTTTAAAATTAGGGGAAGCTGAGTAAAGTATATATAGGAACTTGCTGAACTATCTTTGCAATTTTCTGTAAGTCTATTTAAAAATGAGAGAAGATATCAAATCAAATTCCATTTACTTTCTCTAAATTTTTTTTTGTTTTCTTATGGGAATTCAAGAGTTTCAAGGACAGATTTTATGAACCCTGCACTTCCCCCTTGATGGAAATGTTGATATAAGGTAATAAAACGGGGCGCCCTAAGGCCCTCTTATACGGCTTACTGGTATGAATGGGCAATCTTTGAGACTAATAGCCTCCTGATTTCTTTTTGCTTTCCCAAATGCCCTGAGGACCAGATGTAGGCAAAGCATTTTATGATGAGGGCTACACAGCTGAATATGATTCGCAGTCCTCTACGATTCGAGAAGTCATTCAGAAGGCAAAACTTTGGAAAGGTAAAAGTATCATTTGAGATCTATAAATAGCAAGTGATTCCGAGACGGTGAGTGACTTTCAGCCAAGTCAAATATGTAAGGTTATGATTCCTTTTTGTTTTCAGCGAGGAAGTCACTTCACCCAACCAGAGATCTCTTTGGTTTTGCAGTGCGCAAAGTCGGTGGTGTCTTATTTGCATAAAGTATTTTTAACATTTCAAAGTGCTCTTACCCCCCTTAGGTTTCATAACAGCTGCCTGAGGCAGGAGGGTGTTTCATTTTCTTTCCTTCAGGTGAAGAGAATGAAGCCCAAGGAGATTGTGGGATTTAGGACCATGGAACTAGTCAGTGCCAGAGCTGGAACTAGAACTCAGGGCACTTTTGAGTACTTCTCCAAGTTGTGTTTGGAGACAGATCAGATCACGTGGGGATCCTGTGAAAATGCAGATTCTGAATCAGTGGGCCTTAGAGGGGTCCCAAGACACTGCATTTTTAGCAGACTTCCAGGTTACTGCTGGTTCCCAACTTACACTTAGAGTAGTAGAGGTTAGACCAGCCTGGGTATTAAACTGCTAGTTGGTTTTCCCTGTATTTGGCAATGTCGACAGATTTAACGGAATGCTTACAAAAAGAAAGGGATATGGCCTTGAAACGCATCTTGATATTGTTCTCAAGTAAAAACAAGTGACTTTCTGGACGTTTTTCATTCTCTGTGGTGTCTTTCTTCTCCACATAATCCATCTATAATTAGCAAGCGGATTGTCCACTAGTAACCAGCCTGGAGCTAGGCAGAAGCATGCTTGGATAGTCCAACTGTTTGTTTACCTTTATGATTTGGGCTTTATCGGAAATTATAATGTATCAATCCCGGATGCATTTGTGTTTTGTAATCTGCAAATTTATTGGAGTCCTGCATGTCCAACAAGAAACAAACTCGCAGTGCAGTGGTTGTACGCCCTGGTCTCATGGCTCTAAGCCAGGAGCTATGCACGCTGTGAGTAGAACATTCTGTGTGGCTCCGTGGATGGCGTTTTCCCATAGGGGCACAATGCTTGCTAACCACACCACATCCTAAGAGACACCAAAATGGTGTGGCCTTACTGGGAGGAATTCCTATGTGAGAACAAGCTCTCTCTTCTCAGGGGCTGGATTGGGTCTGGGGTACACCTGTCGGGGGTGCATGGGCCTGGCATGGAAAAGGACACACCTGTGTGGTGTCCTGCATTGTTCCTGTAGGATGGAGCTGGGACAGAGGGCAGCTGACAGCCCAACAGACACCTGCTCTAAACAGCAAGCATAGCTGTTTGACTCTTTCCTTATAACTGGACTGACTGGTGGGGTGAGGTGTCAGCTTTCTTTGATAAAGTGCACTGTTATTTACTCAGTGACACTTATTATAAGCAGTTCTCAAATACGACTGAAGGACAAATGTTACGCTGTTTATGTATTTCCAAATATCAGGCCTATCCCCGATGTCTGTTTCAAGGATAGAGAAACTGAATTCTGGTGCTGAGCCCAACCATCAAGCACAGGATTCCACTCTGAGAAACAAAACGAATGAATATAATGACACAATATAGGTAATAACTGGTCCAGAGTGAACGATTCTAAAGAAAGTGTTCCTGACTCCCATGGCAAGAGAAAACATTATAGAGGAGGTCAAATTAAAGCTGGATCAGAAAGGGTAGGTAGTATAGTAATGCAGGAAAAATGAGCAAAAACACTCAAAAGTGTATCTGAAAAATTGGGAGTAGCACAGTTCCATAGAGAGAAGCTGTGGGGCACAGAGCTGAACAGGAAGGGGGTGATGTGTCCTGGAGGTCAAGGTTAAGGAGTGGTCTTTCATTCCATTGGCAGTGGAAGCAGCTGAAATTAGTCAATCTTCACATTTTATGTTCATGAAAAACTCAGGGGGTTTCATGTAACACATAACCTCTGGAGGTAAAAGGGGACAGACTTGAAGAATCGTAACTCCTTGGCACTCAATGTACTAAAGAGTCAGTTTTGCCATTTCAAAACCAGTTTTCTAATCCTTGCTCTGCTACTGGTTCATTGGTACTGGGTAAGAAAATCTCTCTAGGCCACAATTTTCTCAAAAGTAAAATAAAAGAGTCAACTAAGATCACTTGCAAAGTTCCTAAATCAGTTGTTCCAATTCAAAATCAATTATGCTCATTCTCCTGTTTGAGAGTATTTCTCCATAATAATGGGGGGGGGAGTGCTATTAGTCCATTTAATATTAAAATCAATTTTAATTACTTAAATTTACAGATTTGTTCTATCTGCATCCCAAATGACAAATTTGCACAATGAAGTCATGCATAGTTTATTAACTGACACTGTTACAAAAAGTACTATGAAAAGCACATTACTGCATTTTTTGGACTAGTGAAGTACTTATTATTTTAAAAAATAATTTTATTTCAGAATTGTTTTTTAACATCAAAGATGAAAAGTTTCAAAACAAAATACAATTGTAGCAAAATAATTTTAAAAAGTGCAATCTTGAATGTGTCACAGTAACATTACTGATTTGATCTTTGCATTTTTGTGCTGTACAGGAAACACCCATAGTAAATCAGTCACAAGTTCATTTTCAAAAGAAATTGCATCTGTGAAAGAAAAAATTTCTTTTTTCTTTTTTGAACTGACAACTCAAAAAAGAACTTTCGTAAAAGCAGAAGCAAAGAGCTCGTGAAAACGGAAGCGTTCTCCATGTGAGTTTTACAATCATCCCAATGGTTTCCCGACTACAAGTCAAGAAGCCTCAGGTCTAGTGTCTGTTCTTCCTCGATTAGCTCCATGATGGAAAAGACCATTTATCTAGTTTTACTTTTCCCTTGAAATACTTATCACAATTCTGGTCATGCTTCCATTTTACTGGCTGTTCCCCTTCTACAGGACTGAAAGATAAACTTGAGTGCTGGGACTATATATGCACAGCCCCAATCTTGAGCACATAAATTACTCAATATCCATTGAATAAATGCATGTTTTTGTTTATCTGTGAACTGAAGCAGTTGGATTAAATTTCCCATATCCTTTCTACCTTTATTTTCCTGTAATATATATAAATTTACCTTGAATTATCTAAGCCCAGGCAGTTCATTCTTCCCTTCAACTTAATTTCTAGCATTTTCCTGCTCATTAGTTCTCTTTCCAAGTTAGGACACATTGTCCTAACTCAACTTGAAGATAAAGCAGTAAAAGCAGCTAGAGTGGGACTAACTTTAGACTGGAAAATCTTCTCTAAGGGAGTGGCATTGAGTGTGCTGTTGAAGTCAACTCCTACCTCTTTGGGTTTGCAGCTAAAACAATAAAACAGTAATACAAAAAACTAAAAAAAAGACAGGTAAAGGCAAACCACACTTAAGAATAATTTCTAAACGGAGAATTTGATGATGTTCTACATTTTACAAATGCTACAGCAAATCATGTTTTGTTGGTAAGCTTGCTGAGCCAAAGAACATAATACAACTCTACGTGGTGGCCCTTTGCGCCAACAGCACTCTTAGCAGCCTCAGTGGGAAGAGCCACAGCCTGCAGTTACTATATACATTTAAGTCAAAGCCCATCACAATGCATCCTGTTACAAATCTTTACTTATTTTGGAAGCCCACTTCATTCTTCTGAGCAGCATTAGAAACCACCCAACAGATACAATGAAAGAGCTGGCAAGTCCTTGAAATGTTAGCGCTAAACCACAAAGAGTAATGGGATAATGTAGACATACCCAATAAAGTATTTATTCTCAATACTGTGCTCAACATTAGATGCTACATAAAACTCAACTGGCAAAGGGAGATAAAAGAATTGTGCTTTTTTTCCTTAACTTGACTTGGATAACAATGAGATGAGTAAATTCTAAGTGGAAAAGTATTTAATTCATTGTGTTTTTTGTATATTTCTCTTACTGCCCATTCCCAGTAATAAACTTTACATCTGTGCCTCTGGGTAATATTTTTTTTAGCACAACACCAGGCATTCTTTAAAATGATTTTCTACTAACTATAAAAAGTTCACTCAGATAATCTGTAAAATCATTTTCTTTTAGAAGAAAAGCATCAAATATTCAGGGAACTTTATTTTTAAAGAATATATCAAATAAGACATTGCTTTCGCTTACTCAAACATGCATAATCCAATCTGAATATAAAATGCACTCAATTGGTAAATTACACATGAAATACAAAGGGAATGCAATTTTACATATGTAAAATGATTGCCAGCTGTAGCAATTTAACAGTCAAATTAATCAAAACACAGTACATTAAAAAAAAAACTCTTAAAGCCAATTATCTACAGTAAACCAAGGAAAATTCTGATATGGAATGGTTTGACTCAAAGCAAGGAATAAGGCACCTGCTATGAATTTAGAGCAACGGCTTTCATTTCTAAAGTTACAATGAAATACAATTAGTTGAACCAAGACACTCATTTCAAGAGGAAAACAAGTACAGGGGTTGACTAACTGGGTGAGAAAGGCAGGTAACAATTCAGTTAAAAACCTGCTGGCCCAAGGTCAGCTGATTCATTTCCTATTCCAGGGTAGTTAAGTTCCTCCAAGTCCCTAACCACTCCTCTCCCTTACTCTTCTCTGTATTTGAGGGTATCAGAAGCCCTCTATGAGGTTTGCACTGTGTATAGTCTAGGTAGCAGATTTCCCTTCTGTTCCTCTTAAAACAGCTTATTTTCAAAGAGATATCCTGAGGCAAGTAACAAAGCAAACGTAAGCAGCTTTCTTTCCAATTCATTAATACATAGACACTGCTCAGGCTGTTTTCAGCAAGTTATGGCTAAGTATATAAACAGCCAATACTTGTAGTTTTCAACAGTACTAGAAAACCCAAAACCTGCCCTATCACCCTCACCCTTACCATTAGTAAAAACAAAATTTGATCAATCATAACCTATAAAATCATACAACAAAGGGAAGACTAAAGACTGATCCTTACCAGTAAATCCATTTAATTCAAGATGCCACTTTAGGCTGATGTGCACAGTACCCTAACGGCATTTCAATCATAAACCTAGAAAAAGCATTTCCAAACTAAGTGTAACTTTTTAGCTGATGTGCCTTTTTTGCTATTAAAAGTGCTATGAACATGCTAAGACGTCTATGGCACACTGGACCCAACAGCATGTCCTGATGAGGCATCCATTTTTAGTAGCATTTTCCCCTAAAATTTTGTCTAGCATAGTAGACAAAACTTTGATACAATATTCTGGTGAAATCAATGTGACTTAAACAAACCTTCCCTGACTGACTTCATTCCACCTTGGTAGCTTTTAGTGAAACCACAGTGACTAATTAAGTTACAAAATACTCAACCGAGTTTTTTTTTTTTTTAATGGCATCTTAGGTTACTATATTCACTCATGCAAAAGCCAAGGTAGTGTAATAGAAACAATATTGTTAAAGTAGATGTTGTGGCTATAAGCAACTCCTTTATATTAGACATTCAGAATATTTTTTAGATGCTAAAGTTGTGGTAAAACTAGGCTAACTATGTAGTTGTTCCATTGATAAGCACCTTATTACAAGACAGTTATATTACCCTATAAGGGAGTGTGCTTTCAATTCAAGAGACAGTAATAAAGTGCCTAGCTATATAAAAACCACAAGACTCCCAATTTTAAATTAAACTAATTGCATTTACACATTAAGGTTAACAAAATCTAGACACTGTCTACAGATTTACTCTAATTGTCCATACTGCATACTGTTTTAATAATAACCACATTAAAAAAAAAACTTAACTGACTGAATAAGTAGGGTCCACTACTGTAGCTTAACAATCAAATTTTATTGCTTTATTCATGTGGTGTTTTTGCAAGGCACTGTGGTATGGACTAGAAAACTTGGAATGACTCGTGAAGAAACCTTGGAATGACACATGAAGGATGATAGGAAAGTCATTCTGAGGCAGGATGCTTTACTGAATTGTTTTTAACCAGGGTATCAAACATCAGGAATGAGTTCAAGTTAAAATTCACAGGAGAATGGAAACATCTTAAGGTCAGTCACTTCACATGCCCATCCTGATACTTTGAATAATCTGGAAAATTGCTGTAAAGAGAAAGAGAAAACATTAAAATATGCTTTGAATAAAATAGAATGAATGACAAATATTTATTAAGGTAGTTGAAGAATCCAAGGGTACTTTTACATCTGCAAAATGCTACTTAACTTCACTGTAATAAGACATGAAAACAAGCCTATCTTAATAAATAAATAAAACAATTAAATGCCCCTAAGGTTTTTTCCCCCCAGCTTCCCTGAATTTTATGGCTAAGTATCCAAGACAGCATGCAGATAAACAATCACTTTAGAAAGAACTTAAAGCACAAAAGCAAACAGGTTTTTCTAGCATAGAATTATTTTGGTTTATCCCTAAATAATGAAGCATCCTTTTAAGGCCTGGCCTATAAGATATGCATGTTTCCTCATTCTCACAAAGCTGAAATTCAGTAATCTTTAGGTTATATAAACTGCTTGGCTCTCAGCCATTTATCAGGAAAGCTTCCAACTGGTAAGCTCAGGAAAAAGGCAAAGTGAAATGCTGAACAGAAATCTCAGAACTTTCGAATGTGGAAAACAGAAACATCTACTTCAATATTAACAACCTGCATATTAAGACAAAAAATAAAGAGAGGAAAGACATTGTATAACCCATTTGCAGAGGCAAATGTCTATTACTCTGACAGCAGGTTGCCCTGAAAACTAATTCTCCTTACCATATGTCAAATGTTCCTTTTATTAATCTAAAAACATTTGTTTCACACATTTAAACTGTCAATCAGGTACATTTCCTCGAGTCAATTATTTGCACAAGCTTTCCTTTACAAGATATACCCAATTTTAACATTAAGACAATAGATTCTGGCACACGTTAAACCGAGTTCGAACATCCATATGTACGTATTTATAAACTTCTCTGCAAAGACACTGATAATGGAGTTGCAAAACATTCTAAACTCTCATTCCGTGAGGTCTTCTTTTATTTTTATTTGCACTTAAATTTCGTCCAACTTGATCATTACCGAAGACCTGACCTCCTTTCTGATCTCCTGTGAGCACAAATCAAGCTGGAAGAAGTTTCTGGAGCACCACCCTCTGTGCCTATGTGGGACAAGGAATTTGGTTCAGACGAAACAGAATTCTTTGGAGCTTTCGGCACGTGGGCTGAGAGGTACGCAGGCAGGACTCGCCCCAGATGGGTCACCCCATCACCCCAATCCCTCTTCCGGGACCCTACCTGAAGGGAGCCCCCAAGACACTCACCAGAGCCACAAACAACAAAAATGAAGAGCGCCAACAGCCAGGGTCCCACAGACGCCTTCTCTTCGGGGGCATTTCTCTGCAAAAGCAAAAATCACCGTCTGAGATGCAGCGCAACCAACCACTCGGACCCCAGGCTCCCACAGCCTGCCCCCCGGGCCGGGTCGCTTGGCCCCTCACCTCGCAGGTCTCCCTCCGTTCCTGAGTCCCGCCCCCGCCCCCCAAGCCAACTCGGCGCCCGCCCCGCAGGCTCGGGCCCCCAGCTCCCCACGGCACCCGGGGCTCCGAGTCGGCCGGGTCTGGAGAGGACAAGGCGACGCGCCCCCCGGGGCCGGGCTTCGGCCCCGCT